TATCGAAGTTATAACTTCGATAAACATGCTAACTTCGATACGACATATATATATATAAAATAATACTATAACCTTTAAATATGGTATATGCTGCTGTAAAAACAATATTATTTTATTCATATTTAAGTTATATCGGCAATAAAATAAGAATGACAAGCAATAGAATATAATATTATGCATAAAAAGTCGAATCTGTCAAAAAAAAGAAATAGCAACCTCGATTATTATTCTTACTCATGAAACAATCATATTTAATAAGTCTAACCAGTTACAACATACATGCATATATATATATATATCTTTAAATCATTCTCTATTCAATCAGACATTTATCATTACTTTTCATTGACTTATTCATCCTTTTTTTTTATTATTCTTGTTAACGTTAAATTATTAAATTATTTGACCTTAGCCAACGTTTTTTTTTCTTACTTATTGACTCCATTGAATATTCTTAATTAGTTAAGTAAGAAACAATTTTAGCATTCAGTTTATTTTTTTTTTGCTATTCTCACATGGTGCATATGTTTTTCGAATTATTCGTTAATTTCACTAATGTTCTATCCTATAGAATAGGAACTTATTTTTTCTTCTTATTAGAACAATAATTATAACAGAATATTTATCATTCGAACATCTTTACTTTCACTAATATTGATTCAATAGAGTAATTAATTTGAAAAAGAAAACTAGAAAATTTCTTTTTTTTTTTCTCAATGTATTAAAATATCATTAACAGAAATAGAGTAAGTGTATCCACTTGTTTAATATTTTATTTTTAAAATAAAATATATGAATTCTTTTTTTTTTATATAAAAGTCTCTTTCTATTTTTTTTTCTGTTGTCTTTTTCATGTTCGAATTACATGAAAAAAAAGAAGAACATGCTAATCAGATGAGAGTAAGAGAATATAAATAAATAATTATATATAATAAATATATAGAGAAGTGAAGTCCAAGATGCGTTTAGTTTTTTTTTACTTCTTAAGAAAAAGACATTTGTTATAGTTAGCATTTTCTGTTATTTCTTCTGTAAAATAGAAAAAAAAAGGAAAAAATGTTTCTTTTTTTTCTTTTCTTATTCTTCATTTTATTTGCTCAACTTAATCGGCAACATAACATTTAACAAAACATACTATTTTTCTTTTGGACCTTCAGTTTGTTTGAAAAAAAAACTCGTTCTCTCTCCTTCTCTCTATATATATTTCTATTAGCATTATCTATTCCCATCATTAACAACATATTGATCAGGGAAAATTGTCCGACAAATTGTAACTTTTCCCAAGAGAGATTTTATTTTATTCTCTAATAAAAATTAAAAAAAAATGACATTTATTTATATCAGAAATCTATATACATACATAATATTTGTTTGTTTTTTTTCAGATCGATAAATATTCGAAAAAGAATTATGGATTATTGGTTAATATAATTGATTAGTTTTATAATATATCATCTTAAGATATGTCTTGATAAACGAGTAGTGTCACATATCCAAGATTTTGGAGATGCCACTGCATCTCCCGCAGGAGACGCGGCACCCACACTCGCATCTCTCGCGCGAGATGCGGCATCTCCCGCAGAAGATGTGGTGGCATCTCCAAAATCTTGGATATGTGACACTGCTGTGATAAACTCATATTAAATAATACAAGGGTACATAATATTTAAGTATCCATATAGATATCGATCATCTTTGTTATCTATTCTATTCAGATCATGCAGCAATAACTATTGCTCGATCATGGATAAGAATTATTTGACAACAGTGGTTAATGATAGTAATAATAATAATAATTTAAATAATGCATCATCAGCAACAATAATAACAATAGGAACTGATAATTTATATGTACTTGAAAAAGATCGTATATTAAATGAAGATGGTTCAATAAATGTTTTAACGGATTTACCAGCATCACGTAATCTTGAAGAAACTGATGAAAATGAATTACCATTTCCAGGTTTTGTTGATAAAGTTTTTTATTGTCTTAAACAAACAAAAACACCACGTTATCAATGTTTAAAATTAATAACGTGGCCATGGTTTGAACGTATAAGTATGCTTGTTATATTACTTAATTGTATAACACTTGGAATGTATCAACCATGTGAACATCATTCCGGTTTACAATCTTCAAAAAAATGTGATACACCACGTTGTATATGGTTACAAGCAACTGATTATTTTATTTTTGCTTTTTTTACTATTGAAATGTGTATTAAAATGACAGCTATGGGAATATTTGGTAAAGGTACATATTTAGCTGATACATGGAATAGATTGGATTGTTTTATTGTTGTTTCTGGGTAAGATTTATCTTCTTTTTTTTTCTAATTATTAATACAATTAGTTAATTTAGTTGGAAGGAAAAAAAAGAAATTGAAATATTTTGTCAGATTTATCTTTTTTTTTTTGTTTCATATCGAATCGATGATATAAAACTCGTGACATCTTTTGACATAATGATTATCAATAATATTTATTTTTGATATTCATATGTTTCTTATGAAATTTCAAATATGTTTTGTTTCTTCATTATATTAAATAATCAATAGTTATAATTTATTATAACAATTAAAATAAATTAATATATATTATTGATATCAGAAATACTAAAAATGGATTCAAAATTTTCCTAGAATTTCTTTATATATTTATTTAGAAAAATGACATTTAATCTATGTTTTCTATATCATATAATCGAGGTAATTAATTTGATAAATTTACTCTTTTGATATTCTTTCAAAATAAACAATAAATTTAAAAAAAAAAGAATTTCTATGAAATAAATAGATTTGATGTGACACTATTAGTATTGATGTATGATCATAATATTGAATAAGAATCATTATGAAAGCTTTGTTTAACAAAAGAAAAACTAGTTCTTCAAACGACATTTATTGTTAAGGGTATCAAAAAGAAAAATATATGTCAATTATTTCATGACATTCGAATCATTATTTGACATCTAGTGGTACTTACATGAGCTAATAATTCTATCTATAATAGTAATTAATACTTAAATTGACAAATATAAAATTTATCGAATAAAAAAAACACATATCATCATAGTTCCTTATAATGTTTTCTTTTTGAGTAGTATATAACATAATATTATTATTTACTTAAAAGTTAGAAGAATGAATGTAAAATTTGTCAAGCGTAATCATTTTAGACTAGATTTCCAGGCTCTTATCTATTCAAATTAGGGGTGACCCTTTATCTTTACTATCCTTTATAATAAAGGATAAAGATAAATGAATCCTTTATTTTTAAAAAAGTAAATGTAAATGAATCATTTATCATTGGAAAATAAAGGAATAAAGGATTATTTTTTTCGACCGAAAATGGTACTAAAAGTGTTCCAGGATTACAGAAGTCACTGTCAAGAGAATTTTTTTCATTGGACCGATGTGTTTTGACTGAAGCAAGGCTCTTGAGAAGCAAAATTATATAGTAGTTTTTCACTAGTATTCAGTGAATTAAGACTAGAAAAAAGAAGACTGAATTAAAACTAATATCATATTCTGAATCAGCATTAACAACGGAACAAACATATGTATGTTTCGAATATTATTTCGATATTTTAAATTTTATCGAAAAATTCGC